GTCTGAAAATGAAGTACTGAAAAGAACATTTTTGTCTGAGACAGAAGAATTAACATGTGGTTGAATGCAGTGCTACGCAATGAGAAGCTTAATAATTTGTACTCTTTGTAGAATTCAGTTTATATCTGAGACTTTTTTTATATATTTTTCTGTCGTGTATTTGTTGGACAAGTACAATTTTGCAAGGCTGACTGTATATATTTATTGACATTAACTACATCCGGTGAAATTGTAATTTCTTATGGATCTATGGTGGACTAATAAATACAAATACAAATATAAATTTTGTTTTTGTTTGTAAGTTCTCATCCATAGCAGTTACAGGGCCTATTTAACAGCATTCAGCATTCAGCATTCAGCATTTATTTCAAATTCAGTNGGTCTCCTTGAATCTGTATTCACTTTTAGGAACATGTGAAAAATTAAATATTTTAATTGATTAATAAAGGGAATCAAATCTGCAGCCATCTTAATACAACATAAAGTAATGCTATACCACACAATTCAAACAAAGCCTACTGAAAAAGTTCCCACATTTATGAATGTGACAGTTGTGAAGAATAGTTACATATTTATAATTACATAGTACTTTCCTTTGTAGTTTCATTGATTTGTACTGGTGCTATTTTCAGTCTAAAACATCTTTGAGGGTGTGTCATTGTATCATCGTTATAAGGTTACAAGATTCTGTTTTGAACACACAATGGGAACCCAAATGTCATTGAACACACAAAACTTTTCTTCTCTAAGGTTGCCTGCTGAAAGTGTGAAATACCCTCAAAGGTATTTTAGAAAAAGTATTGTAGATTACATGGGAAACAAGCTCAATAAACTAATAATTGTTTTCCTCCCCTCTAGCATCATTAGTTTATGTTGGTAACATGGATGACATACATGAAGAATCTGCAGTAACATCATTGGAGGAATCAGAGGTAAGTTGATATATAAACCAGATATTTTAAGGGCCCACTGCTTGGTCTTCCTCTATGTATTATATTATGTGTATAAGAGCGGATCAAACGAAAACCACAGAGTTGGCTTGAATTATAGAAATTATATAAAATAATTTATGCAACCCATTCCCCTGCTAAAATGACTGAAGGAAGGTGATATCAGCAAACTGTGACTATGTACAAAGTTAGAAACAAATTTATAATTCCTCTTTGAGAAAAAATTGGATATCGACTGCAGTTTACTACAGAATTACAGTTAGTTTGTTGTAGCAAATATTGTATTATTCTTATCTGTACTAAATATTTGCCTGATTTAAAAGCGCTCAGACAGCAGTGATTTGAAAGAATTAACTTGCATTCTTTTCCATTCATATGAAACACCACAATAAGTTTTGAATGTCAGAATTTTCTGTCACTCCACCATTCTTTTCCATATTCTGTACTGTGTTAGCTGCGCCATCTTGCTCTCTAATTGTGTCATTGTACATATGGTCCCTTAGTGCAGCAATTCTGAAGCAAACTTTTCCCGTCCCTGTACTTAAAAGTTATAATTGTGTTCTGTGGTCACACAACCAAAAACACGTAGCAAGTTGTATGTAAAACAAATGCAATGAAGAAGATTGTTATATACAATATAATGAAAGTGTCAAGAAAATGTGATTACCTTACTACAGAAAATCTTACTAAATGGGAACATGCTTACTGGATGTTCTTTCACCCCTAGGCAAAGATTTGCACCTGCCAGTTTGTTTTGATACTTGATTTTCAAGAAATAAAGGCGGAAAGTTGCAGCCACATAGCCCAAGCCCACAACACCTGCATAAAAATAGTCAGTTAATTCGCATAAGATACAAAGAAAATATGTCTGAAGACTTGGAAAAGATTTTTAATGAAAAGTTACTCATTAGTCATGAAAATGGCTGTGGCCACAGTGGTTTTGCTTAATAACCATATATCTGGAAGTTTGCCTGAGGAATCACATCTGGTGTTGCCTCCAGTCTCTTCTTGTCCATACTCTATAAGAATCCACATCTCATATCCATACAGCCGGGCAGGTTGAACACTTAACTGTGTATTATTTCTAGGTTTCTTGTTTACAATGACATACAGTTTTTCTGTATTCTGTGCACAATGAAAGTGTTAACAAATAGCACACATCATTGTGTATTACTTGGAAATACCTTACATCTTTGTATGATTTGAGGCTTTCACGGCGGTGACTATGAAGAAAGCAGTCTTCTGGGATTTGGCACCGTGTATATGTGGTGTTAACCGACGTTTCGGAGGAACGTATCGCCTCCATCTTCAGGGTAGAAGAAAAAGTATAAGAAATCTGCAAGCGACAAGACCGTGAGAACGGTAAAAGCAGACTGGAAATAACACAGCTNCCTTACATCTTCATTGATGTGATGACATTGGATTGAATCCCCCAGTTTATAACTGAGAGCATTGAAATTTGTCATTAGTATTTTAAATTGATACATTTTGTGTATACAGTCAATTTTGTGCAAATGTTCTGTCTGAAATCTTCACAAGATTGTACATGAATTAAAAGTCTTTGGTTTTCTGTTCTTCCTTTGTAGCTTGAGTAAATGGTAGTATTTTTATTTATACCTCCTGTGTTTAGGACATAGTACATTAGAATATGACCCATTCATGACATGGAAAGAATGTAATAAGTAAATACAACTGTCTAGTGTTAAATTTTGATGTCAGGTAAAAACAGAACCATGTAATAATTCACCCACCATGAAATTGAGGGTTACATAGAAGAATTATTATACATTGTTCCACGGTACTTCCCAGAGTGTGTTTGTCATGATAGAACCATTTATTTACTTTCAGGATCAAACAGAAGGTGATCTTGAAGAGTGTGATGATGACTCTGATATACCACCACCCAGCTTCCAGCTTGTGAAGACTGAAGTTATTGGTGATGGCGAACTAGAAACAGACACTGATGTGGCAGCAAATGGTGGGCTAGAAGATGCTGATGCATCAAAGAACAATTCAGAAAGTATTCATTTTGAAGATTTAATTGATGCTACTGAGTAAGTATATTTGCAAAATATCGTGTTTGTTTATGGTTCATGTAACGACTGTGCCAGAAACTCGGACTGTATAATGCAAAAATATTGTGTGATGGTAAATAATGAATTGTAAAGGGATGTAGAAGGTAGTGGTCATGACTTAATTTAAGGTACTCCTATACTCTTCCAGGAGGGACTGATGAAAACCATTGGAAACATAATTAGGATAGTAGGTGTTTTAACCAGATTCAAACTTTACACCTTCCAAATATGAGTTACAAGAATTAATGCTTGGGTCAATTTTCTCAATGTAAAATAGTACAAGGGAGGGCATTGCTTAGGATGCGGAATAATCATAATCTTCGTGGATTAAGCTATTTTTACCTGTTCTGTCACTAAACTTAGCTCCTAAAACTCCATTTTCAAATTATGTATATTGAAATATGAAAGTGTTGAAATTGGTTTCTACATCATCCCCTTTGGTGTCTCATTCCTTTGGGTTGGTACACATAAAGTGTTGTGGAAGCCTCCCACAGTGAAGCAAGCACTCACCATGGCAGCTCCCAATGCCCATTGGTTCGCACACTGCCTAGTGACAAATGTATAAAGATGCAGGTGTCTGATGCACAAGCATCAGTTACAGCTACACTTACATCAAGAGAACACTGCAACAGTGAGTCTACCGGTAGCAGCACCCACAGCTGACTCCACCAGCACTCATCAGGCCAGCCAGCCTCACCATCACTAACGCTGGCTAGCACACTGCAACAGGTTCTTCACATGGCATCCTGCTAACAGCCGCTTGAATCCACAGAGAATCTCACCACCCAATGGCCCAATTTTGTGATGCCTATCTTGTGTAATGTTGAGAGGCCATGTAGTTCATCATTTTATTACAGTGTATTATCCAGGTGCATATGTCAGCTGATGTGGTTCCCTTGTCACTTGAAGGTTATTAACAGCTTGAAACAGAATGTTTATGTCTCCAAACAATCCACACAGGCCCTTCCTGGCCTCACGCTTGTCTAACCATAAAGACTCAAACAAAGGCATTGTTGATTCAGATCTGCCCCTTACTTTTATTTATAACTTTCATCAATATGAAACAATGGAAAGTTGTAGAAGCTGATAATTTTGTTATAAGTTAAATACAGATATGTTTCATCTGATGAGAAATTTGAAACAGACCGTGGACAGTGATATCGCCTCAAAACTAGTCACACTAAACAGTTGCAATCTTATCCTTTACTTTTTATGAGTGACACTAATTCAATCACAGATGAGGATGAAAGTAATGAACCAGATAACAGTGATCATTTTTATGACAGTAAAATTGATGTTCTATGCGCAGCTGGTGAGAAACAAAGCAATGAATGTTTCCACAGATCTGCAGGACTGAACATAATTGTTGATAGCCCTGAATCTGTTATTGAAGTGGTGATTGTGATTATACAGCTGTTCTCTGAACAGTCCAACATGTACCACACTCAAAATGCACAACAGTGGAAGGTATTGTCTGACTCACTGAAGTGGTCTGACGTCACACCCAAAGAAGTGAAGTTTTTTGGAACTGGTAATTTTGATGGACAAGTCAGAGAGTACAACATAAGACACTACTGGTCAACTGGTTCCATTGTTTCCACACCCGTTTTACCCCAATACTGAGTAGAAACCAGTTTGAAACAGTTTGGCAAGCTTGGAATTTTAGTAACAGTAGCCAGCAAACACAAAATTATGGAAGGCTTTTCAAAATAGAGGCTGTGAATGAATATTTGTTGCAGAAATTCAGGTCTGCTTACAGCCTAGGAATGGAAGTGTTACTGGGTGAAGCCATGATTCCATGGAGAGGTTCCTTTAAGTTCAGAACGTAACAATCCAGGGAAAATAAAATAAGGAGTGTTTGTGAAACTGTGTGACTCTCAATCCAGATACATTTGGAACATGGAAGTGTATGCAGCTGAGGGGAAGAACACAATGGTTTCAGTTTAGACACATCTAGAGCAGAATCGTCACAACTGTCAAGACAGTTTTTATAATAGTGTGAAATTAGCAAAAGCTGTATTAGACAAAAATGCAGGAGTTTGTGGCACTTTGAGTGCTAACAGAGACATTCCACATAACCTAGGGAAGGAAACCAGAGATGTGAGAAACGGAAAGTTATCAATCCGGAGGAAAGATGATATAATGGTTCAAGTACAAAAAGACAGAAAGTCTGTGTGAGTGATAAGCGCAATCCATGATTTAGGAATGGTGAACACAGGAAGGAATTACATAAAAACCAACCTAGAAGTAACGAAACTCCACTATATTGTCCAGTACAGTAAATTTGTGAAAACTGTAGATAGGGTTGATCAGTACCTCATTTATTACTCAATTCTGAAGAAAACTGTGAAGCTGTCAAAGAAGGTGATGTTATGTCTAATAAATTTTGCGCTCTTCAAGGTGTTCACAACCCTGAACAGAAACACAAAAACAAATGTAGAAAGTTTCTACATGAGTCACAGAGGTCTTGAATTTCAGAAACAAAGAATCCAACTGAGTTTGCAGCAGGCAGAGGAAGAACCAATACCAAGGGGACCTAAACAGGACTAGCCAGGCAGACTGTCTGGGAGCTTCAGCAGACATTAGCTGGAGAAAATTATTGTCCCTGGGCAAGGAAAGGAGAAGTATCCTGCAAGACAATGTAAAGTTAGTGCACACACAAGGAGGTCAGTGAAGCAAGATACATTTGTACATTTAGTGTTCTTAAGGCTCCTGCATCGAGAGGTTCCACTCTGTGAAGCACTGTTAGATTCACTACAAACATTTTCTTCAGTACTGACTTAAGGAGTGTCGTCTAGAACTTCAAAATATAAGTACAAATGTCTTCAAGGGTAGGACACTAAAATGCTTGTTAAAAGTCCAGGAACTGGGGATATCTAATTAAAAGGGACATATGAGTCCTCAGTGAGTGTATACTACATAACCTATGCAGTGGAAATATCATTATCAATCATAAGAAGCAGGCTTTCCATCTCTGTTTTAGGGTTACTTTAATTTCAGGTCGCATTAGCTTGATCTCTCAAACATAAGTACGATGGGGTACCCAAAAGAAACCGAACTAATTTTTGTGGGCAGAGCTTTTGTAGTACCGCGTTTTGCTGCTATGAGCACATAGAGCTAACATTCCTGAGTCGATAAGCCGACTACCGTTGCTTCAGAAGGTAAGGACTAGTTTCGGCAGAGTTTATAGTGACAACTGTTTTGTGTGATCATCGTTTTTGCAATGGCTGATTTTTGTGAACAGCGTGCGGTGGTGAAATTCTGCTTTTTGCTCAGGAAAAGTGGAACAGAAACTCTTGAAATGTTAAAAACGGCATACAAGGACGATGCTATGGGGAAAACTCAAGTGTTTGAGTGGTTTTCCCGTTTCAAAAATGGTGAAATATCAATTGATGACAAACCTCGTTCTGGTCGTCCTTCCACAGCCCGAACACATGAAAATGTTGAAAAAATTCGTGAAATCATCAAGGAAGATCGACGACGGACCATTGAAGAAATTGTGGAGCTGTCGGGAGTGACTTGGAGCTCAATTCAGCGAATTTTGACAGAAGATTTGGTAATGAAAAGGGTGGCTGCGAAATTCGTGCCACGACTGCTGACTGCTGAACAAAAACAAGGTCGCCTGGAAGCATGCTGTGCTTTGAAAGAAGAGTCCCGAAATGATCAAAACTTTTTTTTGTATCCTCGAATGAAAAGAGACACGAAAATTCAACGTTTTGCTGATGTTGCTGAGGTGAAGGAAAAAACGACGGAGGTGCTGTCAAGCATCTCAAAAGATGAATTTAGACAATGTTTTGAAAAATGGAATAAAAGACTAGACAAGTGTATTAGTGTAAGTGGAGAGTACTTTGAAGGGGATTGAAGGTTTGTGCTTAAAATTTTAATAAATAAGTTTAAAAAAAAATAAGTTCGATTTCTTTTGGGTACCCCCTCGTACCTTAGTTTGGCACAGTGGTAAATTTCTGTTGCCCATGCTGAGGATTGAATCTTGGTTGTACAGCCCATATGCATTTACCTTCTGGATTGAACTGCCTTGAGTTAAAATTTGGTAGGAAAGTTTAACTCATTCCCTCCTCTGTCTTATCACATTCACGTTATTTCTCATAAATGTTTTCTTTGTAATATTAAAATTATATTTTGAAATAATTTCAGGTATGCGGGCAGTAAATCACCATTGCACGGCAGTGAGAGTGATGATTCAGAATTAATTTCCAATGACACCTACACAGAAGAAGATCTTAAGAATGGCAGCATTCTTCCAACAAATGCAGTCTGGATTAAGGAACCTTCAACTCGTTACTTCTGCGATATCTGTGGCCAAGGTTTTGTTATCAAACACAGCATAACTCAGCATAAGCGAAAGAAGCATGGTATTCACCCATACACATGTGTCTTATGTTCACAAACATTCCCAAAGAAGCAGGACCAACTTCGGCACCTGCAGAGCCATTCTGGGCCAGATGGATTTGAGTGTGAGTCATGCCCCAAAGTCATTCCAGGTATTGATGCATTTCTGCGTCATCGTAAAATACACATCACAGAGAAGAATATTCCCTGTCTAACATGTGGTATGCTGTTTCGTACTACTTGGGAATTAAGATCTCATTCTGTGACACACTCAGATAGTCGGAGATTCTCTTGCACTGAATGTGGTCAGGGATTTGCTGTGAAAGCACGTTTACTAGATCACTTAAACAGTCACACAGGATCTCGGCCATATAAATGTGAGATCTGCGGAAAAACATTTGCAGCGCAGTCAGGTTGGAGCAATCATTGTAAATTACACACGGGACGAAAGCCATTCAAATGTGAATATTGTGACAGAACCTTTGTGACCAATGCTAATCGTCGTAAGCATGCCCGTACACACACAGGTGAGAAACGGTATGAATGTACAGATTGCCACAAGAAATACAGTGCTCCAAATTCACTGGCAATTCACAAGTTGCTGCATACAGGACACAAACCTTACGAGTGTGACGTTTGCAATGCGGCATTTCAGTGTAGTTCACAGTTGGTGAATCATAGTCGAATACATTCAGGTGAACGTCCATACACATGTGATCTTTGTGGGTCAGCTTTCTCCCAGGCAAGTAACCTTAATACCCATCGGAAAACACATGAGAGGTATCAGAAAATGCTTGATGAAAAGGTAGAAAAGGGCCCTCATATAGAACACAGAAAATCACAAGAACGGTATCAGAAAATGCTGAGTGACAAGGTAGCCAAGGTACCTAGTGCAGGACAAAGAGCTAAAGACGGAAACTTGTTGGAAGGAAAGAAAGACTTGAGTATCCTTCCAGTAATCCATCTTGTATAGATAAAATTACAGTGTTTGAAATATTTAAGTCATTTCAACCAGTAAGAAGACTTCAAGACTGAGACTATGTTGAACATTTGTCATCATGTTAAATAATGCCTTTCAAAGCTATCGCTGTTAAAACAAAACAAAATGTGGCTCTGTGACTGAGAAAGGGTTTTGATTAAGATTAAACTTGTGTGGCAAGTTGTGAAGTTCTTACTTTAAATATTAAAACATAGAAGCAATACATGAAGGCTTCAAGGAAATGAATAATAATAATAATAAAGTAGGATCTCTTTATTTATTTAGACACCTAATTGATATCAGTGGAATGAACATAGGAATAAATCTTTATTACAATTTTTACAAGAAAACAAGAGAAAATGAGTTGTTGGTACCATAACTCATGATTACATGTGAGAAACTTTAGGAACACAAAGGAACTTCGCAAATCAGAGTATTAGAAGGCATACTTAAAATCCCTTTGAAGTGTAAAGCAAGTAAGTAACATTGTTTATAATATGAAAATTGCTTGTGTACTTTATATTGTGTGCTTGGTTGCCAGTGTAATTATCCTTTTAAAGTGTCAGACCCTCACATCACTGTACTCACATTTGGAAGTCCTAGGCATGTTGATTCTTGTGTTTTTTAGACATCTTGAGGAAACGATATCTTGATTTGAACAGTGATTTTGGCAAGTTTCAAATTTCTGCTTTTGCTTCTTACAGTAGCATTCCGTCTGCCCAATCTTTCAGAATCATAATGGTTGGCAATGCTAACATGAATTAACTTGTCCATGGTTTATGCTAACCGTCTTACAGTGTATACACTTTTTCACCTTATTCTTCACTTCCACACTACATGTTTCAGCACTAATGTGCTGACACCTGACACCTGAGGATGGCACATTAGTGCTGAAACATGTAGTGTGGAAGTGAAGAATAAGGTGAAAAGGTGTATGCACTGTAAGATGGTTAGCATAAACCGTGGACATGAATCAGTGTAACAGGACGCTAAAATATAACATGAATTAACTTGTTAGGAAGATCTCTCTCTCTCCCCTCACTGCCTGTAGTGAAAAAGGACATGTACCTAGAACTGAATTTTGTTAAAAATACAGTGATTTATGAAAATGTTTCATTGAAGGAGGATCTCATATCAAAAGCGATTAGGTACAATTTAGTGCTGTGTGAAGAGGTGGCTAGTGTTATTAATTGTGAATTCAGTAAAAAAAAAATTTACCATATTAAGACAGTCCAGTTTGGGGTACACACGTTGCACAAAACCATTCTGAATGATTTCATGTACCGCATTAGCCTTGATGTTCATTTATTCCCCATACATACGGCACAGTTAAAATGAATTTCTTGGTAACATTTAATGTGTAATCCCACTAACTTAAACTATGTTTACAATGTTTCTCAGAAATATGTTGAACAACTTTTCCTTAATCCATGATATGTATACAGTGGCCGTCTTGTGGTGCACTCAGTTTCACCTGTTACTTCACGACATGTTTCGGCAACATAGTGCCATCATCAGGTGCCCTAATTACGTTACTCTATTGCATTGCTTACCCTCATATGTCTTCACAACACCATTTAAAAAGTGCGTATTTGTCAACTATAATAAATTTACACTCACTAAAACTTGTTAAGATTATTTATCTTGTGTGTCTTAATTAAAACTTGTGTGTGGTTCATTCACTGTGGGGTTGTTTTTCTTATTTTCTGTGTAAACCGTGTCTTGTGATGTGTGTTCCCTTCTTAGCTGCGAGTGTGACAAATACACACTTTTTAAATACTTTTTAAATGGTGTTATGAAGACACATGAGGGCAAGCAATGCAATATATTAGCATAATTAGGGCACCTGATGATGGCACTATGTTGCCGAAACATGTCATGAAGTAACAAGTGAAATTGAGTGCACTACAAGATGGCCACTGTATACATATCATCGAGGAAAATCAGTGCAACAGGACGCTAAAATACAACAAAACTTTTCCTTAACGTTGAGGTATCTCTGTGGGAACAAATTGAGGGTTTGAATCTTGTGACACCACAAGTGGCTGCTTAAATTTTCCACCAAAAATGTGAGGATATCTATTTGAGAGAACTCTGTTTCCAAATGTTTTCTTCAAAAAATCCAACACCGCACATGCTGTGTAAGACCTTACACCTTTTGTTTGAACCATATCTTGTGAATATGAATATTGTACCTCTTGAAAAAAAGAAAACAGAGCCATTATGCAGAACTTGAAGTTAAACCTGAGAACTGACAGTGACCTCAGTAATTAGAAATCTGAATAATTTATGTGACAGTTGTATTCCAAAAAAGAGTCATAGAAAGTGAAATTGCAGGAACATAATGTACACTGAAGGTTTCTGTATTCTCTCATAAGGTGACAGCACGATGTGATCAGAAGAGTTTGTGCAACAAGGCCACAATTTCCATTCACTTGTTCTGTCCGTTCTCCACCACCCACTCAATTCTTTGCTTCCAACCCGATCAGTCAGTAAGGAATTTGCATTAAAATGAGTGCTATTAACTGAAATCAGTCAGAACTGGATGAGTGCATGAAAATGAAATAGAATTGTTAGAACGCATAATGAGGAGTACCCATACTAGAAAGTGCATGTCACCCTGTAGCTCACTGTGGATGTGAGGTGTTGTCAGTAACGACTGACAACCTGTTGCAAGGCACTAAACACCTTTGTTTCTATGAATCAGTTAAATGTTGAGATGTACATGTATTTACAGTATATATATGTATTGTTTTTCTCGCTGTGCTGTGCCTGGAGTTTCCTGAATTTTTATTTCTGGGACTGCTAATTTAGAAGAACACAGACAATTGAAATGGTTTGGCGAACAAAAAATTGCTCTGTATGGCACTGTGTATTGTACCTCTAGTTTTGTATAGGTGTGGAACTTGAGAGTGTCGGAGAACAGGGTGCAGAGGAGAATAGTAAAATCCAGGAAGTAGAAAATGACAAGAAGCTCGAGATGGTCAGATAATGAGAAGCTTCATAATTTGTAACTTCACCAGATCTCATTAGTATGATCAGATCAAGGAGGTTGAGGTGCGCTGGACATGTAATATGCAAGAAAGATGTGACAAATACATTTAAAAAAAATATTAAAAGACTCGAGGGAAGAAACTACATGGAAGACCTCATTGTAAGTGGAGGATAATATTAATGTGGATCTCAAAAAGAGAGGGTTGATAGTGGGGTGGATTCATTTGGATCAGGATAGAGTCAGTTACCTCATAACACTAAAATCAGCCACGCCTAGCCATGACACTAAAGCCAACCTCTCAAACTAACAGTAACAACCAACGAGTATACACATCACTTAGGATTATACACGCATTACCTATGAACTGGCAGACTCAGCACAGTTTGGATATAGCCACATGCCCAAGTACATAGACCTCATAAGACAGCGAACAGCAACTACATACAAATAACCAGGTGCCTACAAGTCATGAGACCATTTTATCAAGCTGCTAGTGCAACCACATACCCGAGAGTACTGCAGATAATCATGTGCCACCTCAATAAAAACCATGATCACCATTACCAGTAGTAAGCCATCCACAACACTCAGTCACCCAGCCACATTGAACTTAGCCATCAACAAGGAATTCCCGACTACAAAACAGAAACACACACGCACCCATTCTCAGTTTTAAAGGATTTTAACATTTTAATACTAAAATGTAGTACATGCCTCAGTGGGAAAATCGATATATTTTATAAAAATTTATTTTAGCATTAGCCTGCAATTTAGTGAATGTCTAATTATTTATTATTCAAAATACATCTGATGATAATCTATATTGTAAAATACTGGAAAACCTTTCTTCTTACAAATACCATATTTACGCATGTATAGGCCGCACATTTTTTGCCAAAAATTCAAGAGAAAAACTGGGGTGCGGCTTATATTTGAAATATTCAAAATCACACTTCATTTAAAAAAAATATATTCATAATTAGTAATACAGGGTGTAATACTCCTGAAATAATATTCCAAGAAAATTATTTTTTCTATAATTTCTGTCTGAAAATTGTGCTGCAGCCTATACATGCATAAATACGGTAATTTATAATCTGATACAGTTTTCTGCATGGTTGATGTAATCTTTTGTCTTGATTTTTATGCAGCTTTTCGTTTTGATAAGCATGATTCATATGTATTGTTTACCTGTAGAATTGCCTGTATATGTTTTTTGCTGATAGTATTGTGATATGACGCGTCCTGTGTCAATGTATTTTGATTTATGGGAAAATTAAAGGAAGAAGGAAAGATAATTGGTCATAAGTGTGTAAATTTATAATGCATTTAATTCAGTTAATTTAGGTAATTTAAATGAAATTGTATTAATTTTAAGTTTTTATAGTAATTTTCTTTTTAAATTATGTTTATTAATTATAACTGTAATAAGTTTTTTNGAAATATCTTATTGACTGTCTTCAGTTACTTCGACCTGTCTTAACTTTATATTGCAGTAGACATTGCGTTTTATGCTGTTGTCATCAAAATCTGTGTCTGCTGAGGTAACCATTTCAGAGATTTGCAAAGCAAATATTCCAATCTGTCAGGATGCTTTTCCTTGGCTGACAAAGCATCCTTTCTAATGTATTTCATGTCTGAAAACACCCAGTTCAACATACTTTCATCATTAATTCAAAAATGGTTGGTGAAGCTGAAACTCAGACACCAGGCTACTTACAACAGAACCTTTACATACATGATTTATTTCTCACATAAGTATTGTACAGAAAAACCCTCTGCTGGGCAAGTGTATATTTATTACAGTGAGTTATTTGCCAGTCAATCTAACATTAAAGGTTTAATAAAAGTATTTAAGCCAGCACTGTGTGGCACCACAGTAATAAATAATGGAAAATATATCTGATCATATTTTGATTGTAGAATGTTATTGAGCAAGTATAATTCGTTGTTTGTTACTGCAGTATACTCACTTTCACTGATCAGTTAAGAGGTTAAAGTGTCCTGTTATTATTTACATAGCTTTANACAAATATTCCAATCTGTCAGGATGCTTTTCCTTGGCTAACAAAGCATCCTTTCTAATGTATTTCATGTCTGAAAAACACCCAGTTCAACATACTTTCATCATTAATTAAAAAATGGTTGGTGAAGCTGAAACTCAGACACCAGGCTACTTACAACAGAACCTTTACATACATGATTTATTTCTCACATAAGTATTGTACAGAAAAACCCTCTGCTGGGCAAGTGTATATTTATTACAGTGAGTTATTTGCCAGTCAATCTAACATTAAAGGTTTAATAAAAGTATTTAAGCCAGCACTGTGTGGCACCACAATAATAAATAATGGAAAATATATCTGATCATATTTTGATTTTAGAATGTTATTTATTGAGTAAGTAT